CAGGAAGAGGTGGTACAGGGGCAAGACTTGGGTGCCCGTGTGCGAGATCCTTGTGGCCTGCAACACCCCTGGGCTGAAGAGGGGCCACTGTAGTGGCAGCAGAAAGTACCACCCAAGACAGCATGGTCAGCGAGGTTCTATCGGAGGTCTTTGCATCCCAATGACCTGGACAAAGCTGTTTTTTTTTGTTTTTTTTTTAAATCTTCTGAGGATATTTTTCCATTGATTTTCAGTTAGAGTGGAAGGGAGAGAGGGAGGGAGGAAGAGAAGGAGGGAAACATGGATGTGAGAGAGACACATCGATTGGTTGCCTCCCACATGACCCTGACCAGGGCCAGGGGTTGAACCTACAACCCAGGCACATGCCTTTGACTGGGAATCAAACCTGTGACCCTTCGGTCCATGGGCCGAAACTAACCGCTGAGCCAAGCAGGCCAGGGCCCTATCTATATCTTTATACTTACACACAGGCATACACTATTTTTTTTTTTTTTATCCTCACCCGAGGATATTTTTCCATTTTTGTACAGATAGAGTGGGAGGGAGAGAGAGGAAGGGAGAGAGAGAGAGAAACATCGACGTGAAGGGACACATCGAGTGGCTGCCACCCGCAGGACCAACCAGGGCCAGGGACAAACTGCAACCGAAGTACATGCCCTTAGCGGGAACTGAACCCGGGTCTCTCCGGACTGCAGGCCGACGCTCTAACCACTGAGCCAAACTGGCCAGGGCGGCATACACTATTTTTTTTTCTGAACCACTTGAGAGTCAGTTGGAGACATCGTGTCCTTTCCTTTGAACCTGTTAACCGAGCGGGACGTATAAATACGCCAAACATTGCATACAGTGAAAAGGGAATTCCCCAGTTATTCCCCGGTTAACAGGTTAAACTCTTTGGTGAATATCTCTTTAACATTCTCTTATGTAACTGTGGTATAGTTGTCAAAATCAGATCTCACACTGATAAAATATTGTTGTTTATTCCATAGTCCGTATTCAAATGTCAGCAATTGGCCCAATAACATCCTTTATGGCAACCCTACCCATCAAGGATCCAGTCTGGGGACCCTGTTCTCATGCCACTTCAGTCTCCTTTAATTTGACCTTGACATTTTAGAAGACTCCAGCTGTTTTGTGGAATGTCCCTTCGTTTGGATGACTTACCTGATGTTTCCTTACAATTAAACTCGTTACACCTTTTTCTGTTGGAACCTCAGAAGTGGTGCTGTGTCCTCAGTGCACCCCATCCTCACCCAGGCTTGGTCCCTTTGTCATACCACCTGATCACTTGGTGAAGAAGGTGTCTGCAAGGTTTCCCCACTACAAGGCTAATTTTCCCTCTGTAAATAATTTGTAGATCATTTGAGACCAAATAAATATTCTAGATGGTTTTTATAATCAGAAAAGTCATCACTAAAGTCTTGCAACCTGTAAGACCTGAGCTTGTCCACCTGATTCTAAACATCAACCAAGTTGCTGCCCCACCCCAGCTACAATAGTTTGTTGCAACACATCTTACATTATTTCCTGAACTAGCCTAAGGATGCATTTTACCTGAGGCTCTTTTAAAAGGTACAGATTCCCAGGCCCCACCCACACCTACTAACCAGAATCTCCAAGGGAGGGGCCTGAGAATGTATTTTGCAACAAGTGCCTCCCAGGTAATTCATATCTTCAGGCTGAGTTTGGGAAACACTTCCTTTAACAGTAGTGTTTAGTCATCAAACAGCTGCTTGGGTGAAGAGGGCACTGGGGTGGCTCAGAAGTGGATGAGAACAACAGTAGTGACATCAGTAGTTCCTATTTATTAAGCACTTATTTTGTGCTAGGCTCTATTCTAATGTTTCACGTCAATTATTTCACTAGTTTCCCACAACTCTATGAGAAACTTTTAATCCCATTTTACAAATGAGGAAACCGAGGCACAAAGAGATTCAGATAACTTGTCCAAGTCACACAGCTAGCCAGCAGTGTGGATGCTGGGAACAGGGGGCTGTGCTGTGTGCCAGACACCAACAGTCTAATGATACCTCTACATTGTAACACTTGGGCAAGTTACTCACTGCCCCGGCCTCCACTCCTTCATCTGTATAATAGAGATGCTATTTAGTGCCCCTCCTGCAGGTCCGGTTAAGAGGATTCAACGAGATGGACTTCTCAGGAGCTAAAGGAGGGAGGATTCAATCAGACTTGGGAACAGGCACTATGTCAGGAATCAGGGATGAAGAAGATTAGCATCACTGTTCTTAATTCTGTGCTCATAGCCCCCAACTGGCCCCCATGAGGGACATTCGGCACACTATGGGAAGCCAGGGCAAAACCAGAGGAAGAAAGGGAAGAGCATCCAAAGATTACATGGAGGGTCAGCCAGAGCCTCAGGAAACACTGCCCCCTTCAGGCTCTCCTTACCATTGCACTGGTCCCTAATTCTGAGCAGGAAGAGTGGCCACTGAAAAAAGTACCATTGTAAAAGGATCCTGTTTATGTCCAGCCAGTGGAGCTCAGTGGTTGAGCATCGACCCCTGCACCAAGAGGTCGCCAGTTTGATTCTTGGTCAGGACACATGCCCAGGTTGTAGGCCCGATCCCCAGTGAGGGGCATGCAGGAGGTGGCTAATTGATGTTCTCTCTCACCTATGTTTCTCTCTCTCTCTCTCCCTCTCTAAAATCAATAAAGAAAAAAAGAATTATTTAAAAAAAATAAAAAGCCCTGGCCGGTTTGGCTCAGCGGTTGGAGCATCGGCCTACGGTACAGAGAGACCCGGGTTCAGTTCCCACTAAGGGCATATACCTCGGTTGCAGTTTGTCCCCGGCCCTAGTTGGTCATGCGGGTGGCAGCCACTCGATGTGTCCCTTCACATCAATGTTTCTCTCTCTCTCTCCCTCCCGCTCTATCTGAACAAAAAATGGAAAAATGTCCTTGGGTGAGGATAAAAAAAATAAAAAAATAAAAAAAAGGATGCCATTTTATTTTTTTATATATATTTATATATTTGTTCTTTATCATTGAAAGTATTACAGATGTTCCTCCTTTTTTCCCCCATTGACATCCTCCTCCCTGCTCCCTTCCCCAAGGGTCCTGTTTGAGTTCCACTTCAATTGTAGGAATATTTATTGAGTCTACTTGGGGCCAAGTATGGAGGACAGTGGTGCATGAACAGGCATAGTCATTGCCTGGCAGATTTTGCTCAGTGGTTAGAGCGCCAGCCTGTGGACCAGAGAGTCCCGGGTTTGGTTCTTGCTAGGGGCACATACCAAAAAAAAAAAAAATCAAGATTAACTTCTTACTATGAGAGACATCTATTAAAACAAGTAATTGCACCCTCGCCGGTTTGGCTCAGCGGTTAAAGCATTGGGCCTCGCACCAATGAGTCACGGGTTTGATTCCGGTCAAGGGCACATACCTTGGTTGCAGTTCATCACTGGCCCTGGTTGGGGTTGTGTGGGAGGCAACCGGCCTATGTGTCCCTCTCATGTCGATGTTTCTTTCTCTCTCTCCCTTCCTCCCACTCTATCTGAAGATAAACAGAAAAATATCCTTGGGTGAGGATTAAAAAACAAACAAAAAAACGAGTAATTGTAGCCCCAGATGGTATGAATGAGTTGGTTGGAAGGTTGTCCCATGCACCAAAAGGTGAAGGGTTTGATTTCCAGTCAGGTCACATGCCCAAGTTTTGGGTCCATTACCCTGTTGGGGGGCATGCAGGAGGCAACCAATTGATGTTTCTCTCTCACATCAATGTTTCTCTCTCTCCCTTCCTCTAAAAAAATAAATAAGACTTTAAAAAACAATTGCACAAATAATTTAATCAGGTGTGAATTGCCCGACACAGATTTCAGAACATTTGTACTGCCAATATACTGAGTTTCCAGACTTACCCCATAAAAACACCAGATGCCCAGTTAAATGTGAATTTTAAACAATTTAGTATGAATATTCCTGGCATTCACTTCCTGACTTAGGCAAATTATATTCCTATGCAATATTTGGTACAGAGTCATACTAAAACGTTATTTGTTGTTGGAAATTCACATGTAACTGGGAGTGCTGCAACCAGAACACTGAGTGATGAGGCTGCAAGGTAAACAAGAACCTAACCTCGGAGAGGTTATAGTTTAGCAAGGGTATTTCACATGAGTTAATAAATGCCCTGATTAGTACTAGAAGTAGAATCTTCCACAGGAACATTATACATGAAATTCTGATCTAGACATCCAAACTGCAGTTGGGAGGCAAAGACAGGGGTTGGAGGGAACACCAATATTCCAGAGGGAAAACGGTGGGGCGGTGGGGTGGCGTGACCCATTTGAGGTGCAGAAAAAAGGCCTGATGATTTGAGTGTGGAACTGAGTGACAGTTGAGGTTGGAGAGGGAGACAGGACAGAGGACAGGAGGCCTGCAAGGGCCACGGTGAGGTGCTGGGGCTTCGCTGAGGGTAACTGGCTGCACTGGAGAGAAACCAAAGGAGAGCTGTCGCAATGTTCAGGTGAAATCATGGTGGATCTTGAGATGCTGGTGGTAGTGGGATGGTGAAAACACACAAATGTGTTCAATGTGTGAGCTAAAATCCATATAATTTGTTGATATAGGGTGTTGAGGTGGACAGAGGAGTTTAAGATGTTCAGGTTAATTCTTGGGCAATTGGAGGGATGGTGGTACCACCTGGGGGGAAAAGAACCTAACCTAGCAGGAGGTGAGGGTAGTAAGAGGGCAGAGGATGAGTTCAGTATGAGCCATGCAGAACTGGACATCTTTATGTCATGTGGGTGGACAGGTTTATGAGGAAGCGGGTTCTAGGGGCCTGGAGCTCCAGAAAGGTGTCTGGTCTAGAACCGTGACTCTTGGCCCCATCAGCACATGGATGGCAATGAAAGCCAAGTAGTGAGTAAGTCTGCCCAAGGAGAGGGTGTAGGGTGAGTAGGAGTCTAGGGCAGAGCGTTGGAGAACTCCAATAGATAGGAAAGGGAACCAGGAAGTGGCTGTTGGGGACACAAAAAGGAATATGGTAGAGAAACCAGGATGGTGTTGCAGAAGCAACTGCTTCTAAAAGGAGGGAGGGGTCAGTAGCATTAAATATGTTGAAGATGGAGCTGGAAGACTAATGTTCTGGGTTTAGTGATAGCTAACCTAGCTATTTCTACATTTGTTTTAAACATATATGTAATTAAAAACAGGTAAACATTTGAGTATTTCATCTGTAACAGTACAAGTTCAACTTGGCCAAAAAAACTTGATCGCAGAGAAATGGGTGCAGAAAAGGCAAGTATTTGCCAAATGTCCCACAGCCAGTAGCAGAGCTCAGAACTTCAAACACACTCAGGACCTCAGATCCCAACCTGTGAAACTGTCACTACAATGTCTCGGGGCTGCTGTCCAGCCATCTGAATGGAGCTAAAGCCAGTGTCTAGGCCTTGCTTCATGGAGCAGTCACTTCTCACTTCACCAGATCTCCCAACTGTGAGAAGTGGGGGTGAGTTCACTTTCCAGAGCAGACAGGCCCAGCGAGGCTCAGCTGGTGAAATCTCAGAGCTGAGATCAGCGCCAGATGGGAATCACTTGTGACTTTCTAAGAACTTCCCCTTAGAAAGAGCAACAATGTTCTAGAGGCTCCCTAGGCCCAGACTTCAGCAAGTGGTAGTAATGAAAACAGGCACTGCAGCTTACCAGTTGGATAAATTATGAAATTTATTTATACTTTGCCTTTTAAAAGCCAGAATGTAACAAATTTCACTTTCTGGAAAATCATCTTATTAGAAATACATGAAGTGCACTTAATACAAGGAAATCAGTTTCTTGGTACCACCAGTGAGACGGACACGCTCTCTTCAGTTCCCTAAAATGAAGGTTTTGTTCAAGTTCTCTTTAAACTTAGACCAAGATGATCTCAATTCAGGGAGGTCTGGGTAAACACTTTCCAAAAACTACAGTGAAGAAGCTGACCTTAACATCTGGGCCTTTCCAAGCAACAGCACATTAGAAAAAATTACTTTGCCCCAAAGGGTCCCATTTTTGCTGGTTATGAGGCATTCACAATTCTTACTGGCAGGTAGGGAGAGGCCCACAGCAGTGGGGGGCACAGGCCCCAAGCCCTGTCACTTGCAACCTCAGCCACTGAACCAGAAGAAATTTCCATCTCAGACTAGAGAGGTCTGACGTGAAGAAGCAAACCTAAATCCAGATGCCCTTTGGTCAAAGGTTCTGCTCCTACGGATTTGACTGCCGGCTCTCAGCCTTGTGTTTATTGTGAAACACGTTGAATTTCAAGCTTATTGGGCCACTACCAAAGCAAGTTTCTAGGAGACAGTTTCCATTAACAACTGCTCACAGATGTTGTACCTTTGAACAGTGTCTTGCCAGAAGGGATGGCAGGTTGTGGTATTAGATTTCCTACCACCTCTCTCTGATAGAAAAGCAATGCTCAGTTTAATCTAAGTTAACAAATAAAAAAACTGGTATCCACTTGGGCCCCGAACCTCTTCCCTCTTATTCATTTGAGGACTCCTTTTTGTGCCTCAAGGACAAGAATGTAAGCAGGCTCCCAAACAGAGAGGTAAACATGACCCAATCATTTGAAAATACCTTATTAGTTTGAAAATCATAAGCAAAAAGCTATGGTCTTCCTGTCTCTTAGCTGACCTTCCTCCCCACTTGTGGAGAAATGGGAGTTTAACCTAAGTTTCTAACCTAGAAACATTTATTTCCACTAAAAACACGTGCTACACCTTATCCTAAAAAGGCACCAGGCAGGCATTTAGGATCAAACCAGTTCATTCTAAGGGTGTGCTGGAGTGGCAGCAAAATATCACTAATCAAAACGTCCAGGATCAGACCGTGCTAAACCCAGAACATTCGCCCCAGCAGACTGTTGAAAGGTTTCCTGGGAGGTCAACTCCAGCTCTGGCAGCTGCTGTGAAGGAGCAACTAACAGAATTTCCTACACCGAAGGCGCTCCAGCTCTGATAAGATGCACTGCTGCCAGCGCTCACACACCCCAGGGACAAGGAGAGGAGACACTTGTCTCATTTGTGCTATTCATGACCCACAAAAGGTCCTGGCTGGCTCGAAAGACCTGAGAGATGAACACTGGACGAGAGGAACTAGTGTGAGACGAGGACAGGTGGAGAAGCTGGGTTTTCTTCCAGAAGAGGAAGCAGAAACTCCAGGAAGTAGCTAAGGAGCAATCAAAGACAAGACATGTGACAAACAGGGTTAACAGTAGGGGAAGAAGAGCCCAAAGGAAAGGAGGGCTCTGACCTGGGAACTGTTTCCCTGTTAGAAGTGACCCTGTCCTAATACCAGGCTCACTTCTGGGTCTGTTGTATATTAAAGGTTTCACATATAACATGTAATGGAAGCTCTGGAACGTGAGACGGACAGCAGAAGCTCTGCTCACTGATCGATGATGGAGCGTTGCAACACCTGATTCATCATGTCCTCTTCATCAACATCGTAATCCTAGGGGCAAAACACAGACACAACCTCAGCACCTGTCTGACTCACTTTCAGTAAGAGAACCGGGAAAATCAAGCATGGGGCCCTGGAGAAAGCTGCCAGGGGCCAGATCCCACCTCCATGGCGGGCAATGCTAGCCACGGAACTCTAGGCAGATTGCTTCATCTCTCTGTGCCTCTGCTGCTCCATCCTGAGGATAACAACGACGGCTCCCTCAGATGGGAAGTGTGAGGACTGGAGAGCACCCAGATGGACCTGGGCAAAGACCAACTGCTCAAACGTGGAGTGCACTGCAGTGAAATTAGCCTTTCTAATTCAACGAGGCAAAGTTTTCTATTTGGGTATTATATTGATCTTTATGCATTAAGAAAAAGAACAGTTATTTTCAAGTCTGAATTTCAGACACTGTATTAGACTATAAATAAATATTCTTTATGACAACTTAGTAAAGAATCATGCTTTCCTTCTTAGGTCCTGAAATACAGCCATTAAAACTGACTACTCCTGCCCTGGCCGGTTTCGCTCAGTGGTTAGAGCGTCGGCCTGTGGTCCAGAGAGACCTGGGTTTGGTTCCCACTAAGGGCACGTACCTCGATTGCAGTTTGTCCCCGGCCCTGGTTGGGTCGTGCGGGTGGCAGCCACTTGATGTGTCCCTTTCACGTCAATGTTTCTCTCTCCCTCCCTCCCTCCCTATCTGAACAAAAAATAAAAAAATGTCCTCGGGTGAGGATTTAAAAAACAAAAAACAAAAAACTGACTACTCCTCCAAAATTCTAACTTGAAGGTTTATTCCAAATAGTTGACCAAATTTATCTATCACGCCCGGCCAGTGTGGCTCAGTGATTGAGCGTCGACCCATGCACCAAGAGGTTGCCAGTTTGATTCCTGGTCAGGGCACATGCCCAGGTTGTGGGCCTGATTCCCAGTGAGGGGCATGCAGGAGGCGGCCAATCGATGTTCTCTCTCATCGATGTTTCTATCTCCTTCTCCCGTCCTCTCTCTCTAAAATCAATAAAGAAAAAAAAAATTTTTATCTATCACTATACTGCCAAGACAACCGTGTGCCCTTCAACACCACTCTAGGGAAAAGACACACACCTAATGACCACATCTGGCCAGTGAATGTGCTTTGTCTGATCTGAAATACTTTAAAAATAAATATGTAGCCCAGCTGGTGTGGCTCAGTGGTTGAGCAATGACCCATGCACCAAGAGGTCGCCAGTTCGATTCCTGGTCAGGGCACATGCCCAGGCTGTGGGCCCAATCCCCAGTGAGGGGCATGCAGGAGGCGGCCAACTGATGTTCTCTCTCATCATGTTTCTATCTCTTTCTCCTTCTCCCTTCCTCTCCCTCTAAAATCAATAAAGGGAAAAAAAATTAAAAATAGGTATGTAGTATATCATATGACATTCTACATTCTCAGCTTTTTGGAGTTGGGGTGGGTGGGGGAGACAGGCATTGCTGTGCCTGTATTTCCACATGACAACAATCAGCTGAAGCTACTGGCAGCATAAAGAGCTACACACAATCCAGCTTGAAAATTCCATGGGGGCCAATTTCATTACTTGCCTGGCCCCATGGGCATCTAAGCTTAAGATTCCCAAACCAAGTTCTATAATAGGTAGAAACTACACACACCAAAAGCAGGCAAACATTTGGGTGAGGGGGACCTAGGAGTAGGCTGGCACTGTCTCAGTCTAGATGGCCAGCCAGTTCATCTTCAATGCCACACAAGAAAAGCTGTGGCCCCTCACCTGGCTCACAGACCGAACAGCTGCCATTCCAGGGAACCCACAGCATCATGACAAAGCTCAACAATGGGGCCCATGGAAGGGAGGGAGGGATAAGAGCCTGGGCTCCACTCACCACAAAAGTGTCGTAAGAAAACTGGTGCCGCCGCTGGATGTGCTCGATGAAGTTGGCGCTGCGGTAGTTGGGGTCTCCCCAGGGCATGGAGGCACATATCGGACAAACCTTTCAACAAAGAAGCATGGTCTTGGGCCCCTGACCTCTGAGCTGACATCCACCCTGTGTGGCTTGCGTCTGGTCTCCTCTCCCAGGACAGCTTTCCTGACCCACCAGTCCAGAGCCAGGTCACTCCCTTGAGTGCACATTCACATCCCAGAAAACACTATCAGTCTCCTACTCGAGTCTAATGACACGTGGGGGTGGGTAAAGGCTTACGCCATGATACCACCCTTTGATTTCCGACTATGTCAGAACAACACATCAGCCCAGTGGGGGCCTAGACTACAGCCTTCCAACCCCCACACATGAAATGACTCAAGACAAAAAGAAAACCAAAGAAATGACAGATAAGCAATGTCCCAAGGAAGTTAAAACACAGCCTTAATGTGCTATTTCTACAAAGTAAATATTCAGATGAGGGGGCTCAGGCTGAAAACCCCTCATAGGAGAGGCTGATTTGGGCTTTGAAGACTGGGAGGCAGTGGGAAAGACAACACCTGAAAGGGTGTTCCAGAAGAGGGGCAGCAGTAGCAAGGAGAAAAGGCCAAGAGGCAGCATAACAGGCAAACAGCCAATCAGTGAGGTTGGAACAGAAAATTCATGGAAATGGACAGAGGGAAGCTGGGGCAGGGAAGAAGCAGGCGTAAGCAGTCCAGCTTAGAGATGGAACCCCAGTATTTACAAGGAAGATGTGGTGACAAAGGGGGAAGGTAAGAGATGAATCTGAAACAGTGGAAGACTCCTTGAGTGGAAGAGCGAGGCAGGGAGCTGGAGCTGGGCCACGAGTCAGGAGAGAGACAGAGAGGAGGTGCTTCCAAAGGGAAGTGCATCAATACTGACAGTTAAGGAGTTCTATACAGGGACAGGAGATGGAACAGAGGGCCACGGGCTGACAGAAGAGAGACTTCAACAGAGACAAAACGATCAAAAGAATTTCAGAAAGCCAAAGGGGGGAGGGGGGTTTAGGTTGCAGTACCAGAAACCAGAGTAGTTCAACGATACTGATTAAAAATTATATGAGTACACTTACCCTCCAACCAAATCAATCCACAGCTAAGACTTTTACTTTAGTAAAAGACTTTAGTTAGGCAAAGATATGTTAAAATTTATGGCAGCCTTTAAAATTTACTATGAAAAACTTCAAACCTAAAATTTACTATGAAAAACTTCAAAGAAAAGTAAATAATAGTTTGTTGAACCAGTCCTTATCCCCAACACCCAGATTTGGCATACTTATTTCAGCAAAAAGGAAGCATTTTAAAATAAGACACAACACTCAGTATAGTCCTAAAAATAAGTATTTCCCTCTATAAATACAATAGCATTATCCCACCTATCAATCAACAATAGTTCTTTAGTAGCATTTAATATCTCATCCTTAATCAAATTTCCTGATACTGTCTGGGACTAACCTTTATGCTGACCAATAAGGGACCAGCTAAATCATGGAAGAGAAAGTAATGGAAAACTGTGACTCTCATTAAAAAAGAGATCTACATGCACTGACATGGAACAGCTGCCAAAAATAGTAGTTATAGTCTCTATAATGTGCTGTCATTTGCATAAAAAGAGGGACAAAAAGGGCTACATCCATGAATCTCATAAGGACGTTCAAAAGTTAGGAACGTCTCTGGATCCCAGGATTCTGTGTTTCTCACAAACGCGGACTACTCGGATGCCAATGGGCAAACAACAGAGGCATTTTCTGACACTGTGAAGGGAAAACTGATTTCGGAGCCAGGACACCAGGTTCCAGTAATGGTTCTGCCACTACCTAGCTCTACGAAATGGACAATCCACTTAACTTGGCTGGCACAATGGTTTCTTATTTACTTCTAAAAAGAGTGCAGGAGAGATGGTGGTAGGAAATGAATTAGAGTATCTCTGTCATTTTACTTAGCATCCATTTTAGTTTTCATTATTACCAAAACAGTCGTGCTTCTCTGGCTAAAATGGGTAGTGGGGCAGGTGAGTGGTGTGTGTGTCCCTGTGTCCATGCACACTTGCTTTTTAATTAGCAATTAGTTCTCAAGAACCACAGCTCAAATGTCTTGAAGAAGCTAAAAGCCTGGATTTGGGGTGTTTCATCTTGCCTAGCACAGCCAACGAATATGTCCTGTACATCTGTTTTGTAATCACAGAAAAAGTAAAATAGCAGGTGCAATGACCATCCCAGGTTTTTGTCTGTAGAAATTTCCAGAATTCTCTATGTAATAAACATGTTAGAAAGATGAGTATTAGTATTAAATAATGAGGCTGTTTATTTTTGAGCGAGAATCAATTATTTGTGACTACCTTCTGAAAGGCGGGCAGGCCACCATGCTGTGGTGTATTACTCTGATATTGGGTTTATTTCTATTATTCTATAATGGCAAATGGAAATATAATATATTTATCATATCCAAACACAATACATTGCAAGCATATAAAGAAATACTGGGGACCTGGCCGGTTTTGCTCCGTGGTTAGAGCATCAGCCCACAGACCAGAGAGTCCCGGGTCCGGTTCCCGCTAAGGGCACGTACCTCAGTTGCAGTTTGTCCCTGGCCTCAGTTGGGTGTGGGTGGCAACCAGTCGGTGTGCCTCTCTCACAGCAATGTTTCTCTCTCCCTCCCTCTCTCCTGTCCGCTCTGAAAATAAATGGAAACGTCCTCGGGTGAGGATAAAAAAATTAAAAAGAAATACTGGGAATAACCGATGGTGTAGAGGGAACCAAGGGACTAGGGGAAGGGGCTGGAAATAGTTTTTACAGTTTACTTTTTATACAATAAACTGACTAGATACAAAGAAACAAAATTTTTAAATTGCCAAGAGGTGCCCTGGCCAGTTTGGCTCAGCAGTTAGAACTCGGCCCAGACCAGGTCTCGGGTTGTGGGTAAGGTAACCAATCAATGTCTCTCTCTCACATCGATGTTTCTCTTCCTCTCCCTCTCTCCATGTTTCTCTTCCTCTCCCTCTCTCCATCCCGTTTCCTCCCGCCCATTCTATCTAAAAAATCAATGGAAACATAGCCTCGGGTGAGGATTAACAACAAACAACAAAATAGCCAAGAGGTGACAGAAAACAAGGACTCAGGAGATCAGCTGGGGTCACTGAGAATGTGATGTCAGCAGGTGGAAGCCAGACTCAAAAAAAAATGGCAGCTTTACAGAGAAGAACCATGGTGGACACCACGGGATCCAAGTTAACAATACCAACAATGGAGGGAGAGATGTCACATGACCCTGAATGTGACACCTGGAGGAAACATCACTTATGGAGCATCCCTGCACTAATCATGGAAAAAAAAGCAGACAAGCCCAAACTAAAGGACTTGCTACAGAAAAACTTGCCTGTCCTCTTTTAAAATGTCAAGGTCGCCCTGGCCGGTTTGGCTCAGCGGTTAGAGCGTTGGCCTGCGGTCCGGAGAGACCCGGGTTCGGTTCCCGCTAAGGGCATGTACCTCGGTTGCAGTTTGTCCCCGGCTCTGGTCAGTCATGCGGATGGCAGCCACTCGATGTGTCCCTTCACGTCGATGTTTCTCTCTCTCTCTGTTCCTCTCTCCCCCTCCTACTCTATCTGAACAAAAAATGGAAAAATGTCCTCAGGTGAGGATAATAAAAAAATTAAATAAATAAATAAAAAAATGTCAAGGTCATGAAAGACAAAGAAGGGCTGAGGACTGAAGAGACATGACAACTAAATCTCACACACCGAGTGGGATTTGGGGGCAGAAGAAGATTGATATAATTGTTAAAATTTAAACATGAATTCCGCAGTAGATATTAGATTATCTCAATGCTACGTTTCCTGAGTGTGACAAACACACAAAAAAGGTGGTGTTTTTTTGTTTTTTTTAAAGCAAATGTTTTTGGGAAATATATGCTGTAGTATTTAGGGTCAAAAGGTCATGACATCTATAACTTATTCTCAAATGGTGAGCAAAAAATTTGTATACAGAAAGCATGGTTAAACAAATATGGTAAAATATTATTATTTTTTTATCCTCACCCGAGGACATTTTTGCATTTATCTTCGTATAGAGTGGGAGGGAGAGAGGGGGGAAGAGAGAGAAACATCAATGTGAGAGAGACACATCGACTGGTTGCCACCCACCGGGGCCGGGGACAAAGTGCAACCAAAGTACATGCCCTTAGTGGGAACCAAACCTGGGACACTCTGGTCTGCGGGTCGATGCTCTAACCGCTGAGCCAAACTGGCCACGGCGGTAAAATATTATTAATCCAAGAATCTAAATGAAGGAAACATTCAAGTTCACTGTACTAATCCTGTAATTTTTCTGTAAGTCTGACTTTTTCCCCATAAGAAGTATAAAAAGGAAGTTACTCTTACCACAGATTTGGTATCCGTGCTATGGGATAACTTGCAGTGTTCCACAAGTCCTTCTTGATCAAAGTTCTTCTCAGGACAGTAAGGGCAAGGAAAGGTATAACGGTTTGGGACATTCCTAGAAGACGAAAGGCAAGAAAAACACCTCTGTGAGTACATGCAACTTCAGCTACTGTACCCTCCAAAAAAGAACAAAGTGCACTGAATGTGTTATGGCAGGGATGGTGATGATTACTTCAGAACCAGGTTAAGTGTTCTGAAAATAACTTATCAGCACAGCTAATATTTGAAGTGAACATCAGAGTTTCTCCACACCTTCCCCCATACACAAACTTGCATCAGCTTTAGCCAGAATTACAATTACACCTCCACTTTCTTTTCTTTTTGGAAAGAGAGGAAGGGAAAGGGGGAGAGAGAGAGAGAGAAATATCGATGTGAGAAAGAAACATCAATCAGCTGCCTCCCGCAGGCACCCAGACTGGGGATTCAGCATGCAACCTGGGTATGAGCCCTGACCAGGAATTGAACTGGTGACCTTTCGGAACACGGGGATGACACTCAACCAACTGAGCCACACCAGCCAGTTTCTTTTCTCTTTCTTTTTTTTAAAAAATATTTTTCTTTATTGATTTCAGAGAGAGGTAGAAACACCAATGAGAGAGAACATCAACTGGCCGCCTCCAGCATGCCCCCCACTGGGAATTCGGCCCACAACCTGGGCGTGTGCCCTGACCAGGAATCAAACAGGGAACCTCTTGGTGCATGGGTCAATGCTCAACCACTGAGCCACACTGGCCAGGCGATATACCTCCACTTTCTAAAATTCACCCTGGCCAGTTTTGCTCAATGGTTAGAGCATCGACCCTTGGACCAAAAGGCTGTGGGTTCGAGTCCCAGTCGAGCGTACATACCTACCTGGGTTGCAGGTTTGATACCCCGGCCCCCAAGGCTGTATGACAGGCAACCAGGCAATATGTTTCTCTCACATCAATGTCCCCTCCTACCACCCCCTGCCATTCCGCTCTGTCAAAAAATTAAGGGAGAAATATCCTTGGATTAGGATTAAAAAACAACAACAACAACACTCATACACCTCAATCACAAACATGCAAAGTGTCCACTGAGCAAAAGATGTCCTCGACCAAGGGAGTGATTAAGTCATTTACCTTGGCTGAAGGGACACATCCTTAGTGGTAGCCTTCACACCTTCCATAATGTAATTCTGGTATTTGGAACAGGTAGCCACGTGGGCCCGGATCTTGGATAGGAAGAACTTGGACAGGAAGAATCAGAGACCAAAAGTTAGTCAGGACCTTGTACCAGGCACATCATCATCCCAAAGCAAAGGCAAGATGAAAACTAGACCTATACCACCCTGGCAAACATCTCACCAGTCCCCTGGCTGTGCTGATGGGGCTGAACCCCTGAACGTTTGTTGCAGGGTTTCTGTTAAGACCAAGGCTGAGGTTTTACCTGACCAAACCAAGACATCTGCTTCCATTCTACACTAACTTTCCTAGAGGTCTGCTTTATTCACCACCTGCTCTCTGCTTACAGACACACTCCAAACCCAGTTTTAAAATTTTCCATACTAGCATTTAAACTCATCTTCTTACCGCAAGCCAAGAACTACATTCCATTATGTGAAGCAGGGGAAAAGGATAAAGGCTAGTAATCCTAGTTAAAGTACAAACTGCCAGATTATGATAAATGATCTTTAAAAAAAAACAACAAACAAAACCTAAATTTGAATTCTATTTCATCTCTAAAATCTAGTCTTTGCAATATAGAAAAAAGAAAAGAAATTCCAAAAAGTGCTTAATCACAGGTGTTCTAAAAAGAAAGAAAACATGTAAAGAATGAAGGAAGAGGGGAGACACAGGGAAGGAAAATATTTCTAGAGTTTACTGCAATACAGTCACTAATCTTTAAAATGAAGAAAATCAAAAACATGTAGAAAAAAAATACAAAAAGACTCATGCATGCATGAAGATGAAGGGAAACTTTATTTCAGTATCTTGAGTTTCTGAATTAAAGAAAACTGCAAGGGAAAAAAAAAGCTTCAATATTTGAGCTCTGGCTTACCATGATGTTTTTATCTTACCTCCAGCTAAAGAACTTGACTTCAAGCTGCCAACCAGAGCTCCCAATTAAAAGGGATGAAAAAAATCCCATTCAGAACTGTACCCACTGGGTACCCCTCATGCTAAATCACTCTGAAAGGAAGATTGTAAGGTGTATCCATTCTATGACTATCCAAACTAAGGTGTTAGAGTTAAGGACACTGACGTGCAAAGCTGTCCAACGGTTCTTTAAAAGGGGAAAAAATTGTTTCAAATGCAAAAAAAAAATTGTAGAAATATATACTACAGTATGATCCCATTTTGTAAAGATCCTATATCTGTTTGTCAAAGGGCAGAAAATATTTTGCAGCCTTCTAAGTTGAACCACTTTAAAGAGGCAACCTCTGGCCCAGGCCGCTTTGGCTCAGCGGCTGGAAAGCTGGCCTGTGGTCCGGAGAGACCCAGGTTCAGTTCCCACTAAGGGCATGTACCTTGGTTGCAGTTTGTCCCTGGCTCTAGATGGGTCGTGTGGGTGGCAATCACTCGATGTGTCCCTTTCACGTCCATGTTTCTCTCTCTCTCTTCCTTTCTCTCCCACTCTATCTGAACAAAAAATGGAAAAATGTCCTCAGGTGAGGATAAGAAAAAAAAAAAAAGTAATCTCTGGAGTGGGGAACAAGCCTACATTTATTTTATATTTTTATACTATCTGGAATGAACAAAATCATAACGATTCAAAAACCGATAAACCTGTGTATATCTCTTGGAAAACAAGAAAATAAGACAACAATCTTTATCTTTTGCGGTTGTAACAGATGTTACATATACTTAACTCTAATATGATTATACAAAAGAGCATGGATGCATTTAGATATTAGATCTTGCTATTAAAATCAAATATTTCATATTGATCTTTGTATCATGATTCTTCTGTCAAGTGCTAAAAAGCTGATTAAACTTTGTATCTGTAATGATATAGAATTTTTTTTGTTAATCCTCATCCAAGGATATTTTTCCATCATTTTTTTTTTTTTTTTTTTTTTTTACATAAAGTGGAAGGAAGAAAGGGAAAGAGAGGAGGGAGGGAGGGAGAGAGAAACATCAATGTTGAGAGAGCCATACTGGTTGGTCGCCTCCCACAAGATCCTGACCAGGGCCAGGGGCCGGGGATTGAACCTGCAACCTAGGCATATGCCCTTGACCAGGAATTGAACCTGAGACCCTTTGGTCTACATGCTAACGCTCTAACCAATGAGTCAAACCGGCCTGAGCTGATATAGATTTTGAGAGAGAGGAAGTGGGCAGAGGGAGGGGAGAGAGAAAGAGAGAAACATCATTCAGCTGCCTCCCTCACACACCCTAACTAGGAATCGAACCCACAACCTGGTTATGTACCCTGACTGGGAATTGAACCGGCCACCTTTTGGTGTATGATACAATGTCTAACCAACTGAGTCACACCACAAGGGCTGATATAGATTTTTAAATTTCCTCTCAAACTAACTGCAATAGATAATTTTTTGAGTCACTGACTTCATTTTATATTAAAAAATATTAAGAAATATCATTCTGTCATTATATTCTAATTAAAATTGTGCTGCCCTGGCAGGTTTTGCTCAGCGGCTAGAGCATTGGCCCACTGGACCAAAGGATCTCAGGTTTGATTCCAGTCAAGAGCTTGTACCTGGGTTGCAGGTTCGATCCTGACCCCAGTCTGGGTTGTGAGGAAGGCAACCAATTGATGTGTCTCTGTCACATGGATGATTCATTCTCTCTCTCTCTCCTCCTTTCCCTTTCTCTCTAAAAATCAATGGAAAAATATCCTCAGGTGAGGATTAACAACAAAAAAGGTGCATGATGCTTTGAAAAATGGGTCTTTTGTAGGAAAAAACTGGGATAACTGATTTCTATGATTTTCAAAGCTAAAGTATGTAATATACTAAGCCAACTCTTAAAAAATAAACCCAATTAAGGTTACCAAAATGAAACAGCACAGCCATCGCCACAGATAACTAGCATGCACACGTGCTATTAGTTATCCAGTCATGCTCTAACTTCAGAAACTACATGGCAACAGCTCTACGTTTTACCCCATCTCATCACAGCAAGACCGACTCTTCCGTTTTCCTTCCACATACATTTTTGCGGCAGCCATGGCAAGTAGTCTCTGTGCTCTCAATCTGCCGCTCGAGCTCCGCGGCTCGCTCGCCAGGTGCCAGAGGGCTGCGACATACCCCACAGACAGGCTTCTTCGGCTTCAGACATTCCTGCAGGCATGCAGAGCAAAAGCTAGAACAAGACATACAGAGAACCTGAGTCATGCATTGTGAAGACAAGACAACAAAATGGATAAACTTTAAAAAGACATCAATGAATAATGGATTAAAGACAACTTGCTCCCTACTCCTGATTCAAATACCGAGTCTCCTATGGCAGAAAAATGAGGGTAGGGGACAGGTCCTGCAAACAATAAACAGGTCCAGCAACAGAAACAAATGCAAACTGTGATACACAGCAAAAGGTGTTCTGGTGCTCTGAGGGGTTTCCTAAATCTTGGTTTTTCCTCTGTGAAATGGAGATCGGAGTACAGTTGTCCCTCGCCACTTCATGCTTCAACTTTCGCTGCTTCACTCTATTGCGGTTTTTTTCAAATATATTCATTAAAAAGTTTATCGAGACAGTGAAAATGATACAGCGCGCGCTGGGTTGTCTGAGTCAATTATACACCCCTGTATTACAATTAAAATTACTGTACGTATGGACTGTAGGCCTATGCATTCTAGCACCCCAGGAATCCTTCAACGCCAGATGCAACTGCTAGAGTATGGAACGGATGAACCGCGATAAACGAGGGACGACTGTATTCACTTCTAGGACTGTTGGGAGACCTTAGTACAGTGTTTAGCACACCTGAAATGCATCACAAACAGGAGCTACTATCATTAGAGGAGAATGCAAAGCACTATGGGAACACAAATACAAGAGCAACTAACTAGTTATGACCTAAGGACAGAGCTGGGAAGACTTCAGAGGCAACATCTATGAAAGAGCCTTAAAAGAAAGAGTTCAACTGGCAGAACAGGGGAATATTCCAGATGTTTAGACTTAAAAATCCATGATGCATTCAAGGAAATAAAAGCCTAACATTTTTCCTCATAAGCAGTAGGGACCCAGATGTTTAAAGCCAAGTATCAACAAGACAAAATCCAAGCTTTAGAAAAATAACTCTGGGATCATCACAGACAATTGAATTGCTGGTTTTAAAATTTTTTGTTGTGAAGAAAGACGAGAGGAGACTTGAAGTAGAATCCAAACAGATGGCTAACAGCAAAGGATTGTGAGGGCCCGACTGAGGCAACAGAGAATGAATTCAGGAAGTGATTCAGAGGTGGGATCAGTAGGACGGGTAACTTACTGAATTTGAAGAAAAAAGGCCAGGTTTCTATCTTTCTTTTTAATTCTTTTTTTTCTTTATTGATTTTAGAGAAAGAGGAAGGGAGAGGGAGAGAGAGATAGAAACATCGATGAGAGAGAACATCAACTGGCTGCCTCCTGCACGCCCCCCACTGGGGATCAGGCCCACAATCTGGGCATGTGCCCTGACCGGGAATCAAACCAGCGACCTCTTGGTGCATGGGTTGAGGCTCAACCACTGAGCCACACCGGCGGGGCCCAAGTTTCTATCTTGAAGCCTAGACAGGTGGTGATTGTGATAAAGTACACGGAAATAATGGACAATAAGGAAATACCTCGGCTATATACCCAACCTGATAGGTTTAAGGCAGGATGTATAGTCAAAAGGTAATCTGCACATTTGACAATTCTTTGTCTCTGAGAATTTTCTTCCTCTTTGTCATTAAGCTAGATGTTATTCTGCTAGGCAAAATTCTAGACCAGGTTGGGAGAAGGTGAGAGGGTCTACTGAGATCACAATGTTGAACTAAGCTGAGTACTGTACTCATAACGGTTCTCTTCCAAAGTGGAGAAAAACACAAATGTTAGTTTCATATAGTGACTAAATATGTGAAGGTAACTGCCCTGGCTGGTTTGGCTCAGTGGGTAGAGCATCAGCCCTCTGACCAAAGAGTCGAGGGTTCAATTCTGGTCAAGGGCACGTACCTTGGCCCAGCTCTGGTTGGGGCCGTGTGGGAAGCAACCAGTAGATGTGTCTCTCTCTCACATCGATGTTTCTTTCTCCCACTCCTTCTAAAGATAAATGGAAAAATATCCTAGGGTGAGAATTAAAAAAAAAAAAAAAAACTAAAACAAAAACACAAAAAAATGTGAAGAAAATAAATGAAAAAATGAGATCTAGCTGGGGTGGATCACAGAAAGCTTCATTAGGAAGGTAACATTTGATGCCCAGCCACTGTGGCTCAGTGGTTGAGGGTTGACCCCTGCACCAACAGGTTGCCAGTTCGATTCTCGGTCAGGGCACTTGCCCAGGTTGTGGGTCCAATCCCCAGTGGAATTGGGGGGTGGGCAGGCAGGAGGCGGCCGATTGTTATTATCTCTCATCGATGTTTCCATCTCTCTCTCTCCCTTCCTCTCTCTAAAAATTAATAAAGAAAAAAAATTTTTGCCTTGGCCGGTTTGGCTCAGCGGTTAGAGCGTTGGCCTGCGGTCCGGAGAGACCCGGGTTCGGTTCCCGCTAAGGGCATGTACCTCGGTTGCAGTTTGTCCCTGGCTCTGGTCAGTCGTGCGGGTGGCAGCCACTCGATGTGTTCCTCTCACATCGATGTTTCTCTCTCTCTCTCCCTCTCCTACTCTACCTGAACAAAAAATGGAAAAATGTCCTCGGGTGAGGATAATTAAAAAAAAAAAAAAAGAAAAGAAAAAAAATTTTTTTTTAAAAAGAAGGTAACATTTGGAACTTCTGGTCAAGATGGCGGCTAGGTAACTGTGGTATCACCTCCTCCCACAGCCACATCAAAATTACAACTAAATTACAGAACAAATATCCTTCAGAACAGCCTGAAATCAAGCTGAATGGAAATCCTACAACTACAAAATTAAAGCCATCACATCGAGACTGGTAGGAGGGGCAGAGGCTTGCACAGGCTGGTCCACACCCACACGTGGCAGACAAAAATCAGGAGAAAAATCAGGAGGGCTGCCCTGGCCGGTTTTGCTCAGTGGTTAGAGCAGTGGCCTGCGGTCCAGAGAGTCCCGGGTTCAGTTCCCGCTAAGGGCATGTACCTTGGTTGCAGTTTGTCCCCGGCCCTGGTTGGGTTGTGTGGGTGGCGGCCACTCGATGTGTCCCTTTCATGTTGATGTTTCTCTCTCTCTCTCTCTCCCTCCCACTCTATGAACAAAAAATGAAAAATTTCTTGGGTGAGGATAAAAAAAAATTAGGAGGACTACCTCAGCTAGGAAGGTCCTCCCTGAGGACTGAGGGGTCCCCCTCCCACACCAGGCACCCAGCTCAGGGTTCCAGTGCCAGGAAGAGAAGTCCCCATAACTTCAGGCTGTGAAAGCCAGTGGGAACTGAGGCTGAGGGAGGCTGAGGCTGCTGGAGTTGCAGGCAGCTCCTCTTACAGGGCCCTCGCACGGACTTACTCAGACCCACTCCGAGTTCCAGCGCCGAGAGGAGGCAGCTGGAAAGGTGCCAGAGACACGGGGAAGAACTGAGTTGTTTGGCATCAGGGCAAGGGCTGGAGAGCGAGCTTTCTCCAGGAGAGATATGCTGGTGGAGGCATTTGTTCCTTTGGTGAGCCCTTCCCCCATGAGGCCAGCAGACAGACTGAGGCCATATTCGGGACTCCAGCAACCTGGCTCATACTGTTTGCCCCACCCTGGTGATTCCCTGAGGCCCTGCCCCACCCAACTTTCGGGGCCCACCAAAGCTGTTTCCAGTGGCTTTACCACAGGATTGGCCTGTTTCAGCTCCTGCTTCAGATTTTCCTAAATTCTCTCAAACAAGCACCAGCTGGGCATAGTAAACCCCATACCTCTCATTGAGTGGCCCCAGGCCTGGCACCAGGAGCAGCCAGCCTTGGTTCACAGACTGGCTTTGCCTGGGCACCTCCAAGCCCAGCACAAGAAGCAGCCATTGACAGATCACTTTGTAGTTTACACCTGGTGGTCCCGGGTAGCGCACAGGCTGATCTTCCCAGAACCAGCACAGTGAGTGGACAGCTTCAGACCACGTTGAAGCACTACCAACCAATCACTTCCACAAATGACACACTCAAGGAATGGACTCAGTGGGTACCAGAGCCCTGCTGAAGTAAGTCTTGCTCTGTGTGGTGGGCCCCTGCATTGCTGATCATCCAAGTTGGTCAGAGGTTGGTGGTCAGTGGGCACAGCCAGTCCTTGTAGCTGATCAGCCTGAGTAAAACCCTTCCATCAACGTGGCAACAGCAATCAAGATTCAATTACAACAGAATGGTGTACAGTCCACAGGAGGGGTGCACCTCAAGGGCCCAGCTGGGTGACCAAGGAGGATGTACCACTGGACCCTACTACAGGACACCTACTACAATAGGCCACTCTAAGAAGCCGAGGAGACAGCAACTCTACCTAATACGTAGAAACAAACACAGGGAGGAAGCCAAAATAAGGAGACAAAAAAACATGTCCCAAATGAAAGAACAGAACAAAACTCCAGGAAAATAACTAAATGAAATGGAGATAAGCAATCTAACAGATGCAGAATTCAAAACACTGCTTATAAGAACGAATGAACTTAGTGAGAATTTCAAGGAACTTTGAGAGGACCTCAAGAGCATAATAAAGGACCAGTCAGAAATGAAGGATGCACTAACTGAAATAAAGAATAATTTACAGGTAATCAATAGTAGAGTAGGTGAAGCCAAGAAGCAAACCATCAATTTGGAATATAAGGAAGCAAAAAACACCCAATCAGAACAGCAAAAAGAAAAAGGAATCCAAAAAAATGAGGATAGTATAAGGAGCCTGAGGGACAACTTCAAGCGTACCAACATTTGCATCATGGGAGTGCCAGAAGGAGAAGAGAGGGGACAAGAAATTGAAAACCTATTTGAAAAAATAATGAGAGAAAACTTTCCTAACTTGGTGAAGGAAACAGACATACAAGTCCAGGAAGCACAGAGAGTTCCAAACAAGATGAACCCAAAGAGGTCCACACCAAGACACATCACCAAAATGCAAAATGTTAAAGACAAAGAGAGAATCTTAAAAGCAGCAAGAGAAAAGCAGTTAGTTACCTACAACGGAGCTCCCATAAGGCTGTCGAAAGAAACTGATTTCTCAAAAGAAACTTTGCAGGCCAGAAGGGAGTGACAAATATTTAAAGTGATGAAAAGCAAGGACCTACAACCTACTCTATCCTGCAAAGCTACCATTTAGAATCATTGGCCATATAAAAAGTTTCCCAGACAAGAAAAAGCTAAAGGAGTTCATCACCACAAAACCAGTATTATATAAAATGTTGATGGGTCTTCTTGAAGATAAAAAAAACATGAACAATAAAATGGCAATAAATATATATCTATCAACAATAGAATCCACAAACAAAATAAGCAAGCAGAACAGAAACAGATTTATAAATACAGAGAACTTTTTGTTGGTTGCCAGATGAAAGGGGGGTTGGGTGAAAAAGATGAAGGGATTAAGAATTACAAATTGGTTGTCAGACTGAGAAATCTCAAAGGGAAGGGGGAAGGTGGGGCGGGAAGAGGGAAACCGAAGAACTAATACACATACATGCATAACCACTAGACAGAGACAATAGTGTGGGGAAGGTAGGAGGGTGGTAGTGGTGGGGAGGAGGGAGTCAAGGGGGAAAAAAAAGGAGGGACATCTATAATACAATCAACAATAAAGATAAATTAAAAAAAAAAAAAAAACATTTGCCCGGCTGGTGTGGCTCAGCAGTTGAGCATCAACCCATGCACCAAGAGGTTGCCAGTTCTTCCCAGTCAGGGCACATGCCCAGGTTGTAGGTCTAGTCCCCAGTGGGGGGCATGCAGGAGGCGGCCAATGGATGTTCTCTCATCGATGTTTCTATCTCTTTCCCTCTTCCTTCCTCTCTCTCTGAAATCAATAAAGAAAAAATATTCAATGAAAAAGAAAAAAAGGTAACATTTGTGCCCAACCGATGTGACTCAATGGACTGAGTATCGTCCCATGGACGGAGAGGTCTCAGTTTCACTCCTGGTTAGGGCACATGCCCGGGTTTCAGGCCTGATTCCCAGTAGGGGGTGTGCAGGAGGCAGCCAGTTGATGTTGCTAATTCTCTCTCCTTCCTCTTTCTCTAAAAAAAAAAAAATCAGCAAAAACATATTTTAAAAGTTAAAAAAAAAAAGAAGGTAACATTTGAGCTAAGACCTAAAATTATGAGGAGAGCCACACAGACTGGATGCATAATTCCACACAAAGATGACACCAAGTGCAGAGGGGTGTCCGAAAAGCAGAAAGGAAGACCTCTGGGGCCATGAATCATGCCCAAGAAAAACAGCCTGGTTTCAGTTTCCATTTTCTATGTATGGGTCTTTTCCTAGTTTAGCCTTCTAGATGCTCCACCCCTTCTGTTACAGTGCTATGTACAAAGTCCTTTCTCCTGGACACCCAGCCACCTGCCCTTCTCCAGCTGTATTCCACTAGACTGTAGAAGGATATAATCATTTAGAGATTGAAAACAAGTTTTATAAAACCTAAAGCTATGCCCAGCTAGAGCTGCAGTGATACTCAAGTTTCCAACTACAAAAGTTAGCAAAAAACAACTAGGCAGAGCAAAAAGCACTTGGCCGGTGTTAATGGAGACTCGAGAGATGCATCCATCTGTTTTCAATCAACATTGAAGTGATGAACATGTGGAACTAGTATGGTGAGTATAGGGAAAAGTCAAGGTTTGAATCCCAGTACTGTCCCCTTGACCTCTGACCCAGGAAAGGTTCATTTGGCTCAAGGAAACCTCGAATTTTGCTTCAGTTGGTAAATCCTGCTGGGTCAAGCTTCTTCATTCATCAATTACCTCCCCCCTACCCGTTTGATTCCTATAATACCCTCCATTGCACAATGAATTTTCACAATAGTCTGAACGTTTGCTGGTACTTATCAATTCATTGGATTGTGAACTCTGAGGGCAGAATCACCTTTACTCATTACTATGCCCCCCAAATCTGGCATATAGTAAGCACACAAATATTTTGGTCTGCTAGAAGATGGATGCTTGCTGTGCTGGGCACTGGAGATATAAGGGGCAAAATATATATGGTTACTGCACTCATGACCCTAAATCTTGCTCTGTGCAAGATACTGGAGGTTATTTATTTTAATCCTCACCTGAGGATATTCTTCCATTGATTTTCAGATGGAGATGGAGGGAGGGAGGGACAGAAAGAAACATGGATGTGAGAGAGACACATGGATTGGTTGCCTCCTGCATGACTCCCCTGGAGATCAAAATGCAACCGAGTACATGTCCTTGACTGGAATGGAAACTGAAAGTCTTTGGTCTGAGGGCTGACACCCCAACCACTGAGCCAAACTGGGCAGAGCTGGAGGCGATTTAAATGGGAATGGTGACAAGGGAGGTAACAAATTGGGACTTGAAGTCTGAAAAGGATTTGGGGTAGTAATAAGGGAGGTGCAGATGGGAGAGCAAGAATTCCAGGCAAAATGAACTGCAAACAGAACAGCCCAAAGCTACAAAAAGCTTCATGTACTTGAAGCAAAAAGCAATCAATGTGGCTAGGGAGCCCTTGCCAGGTGCTAACTGTTTTCTGGGCTGGCAAACAGATGCCTGCAGTCCTTCTGGGAAAGCCAGACAATGGTGGGCCTCGGTTCTCTCACCTGCAAAATGGCTCTTCCTCTGCAGGACTGCTGTAGAAATGATGCCTGTGAAGCCCAGCAGGCGCCTCCTGTGCCTACAGACCAGTTAAGAGGCCCTCAGACGAATGCCAAGGTGATGCTCATGATACCCCATTGAGGGAGGCCACGGAGAAAATGCCAACTCCCGGAGGCAAGAAGTAGGTGGCCAAGTTCTCTACAATTTTTTCAACTTTGGTGTCTCTGTGTCTGATAGAGCAAGGCCGAGATTCAAATCAGGCCAAGCTCAAAACACCTACCCCAGCCCAGGTCTGGCACTGACCTTTACACACACACACACACCCCTCCTTTAGTCGTCCCAGCGTCTATTAGCAACATTGCAGGCCACGGAGGCTTAATCTCAAAACGCATGAAACACACCTGTACCCAAGCAAGTAGGAATGCTAACAATCCCTCTCTGGCAACTCTCAACCCCTTTCACAGTTAAGGGCAGACTGGTCAGCTTTTTATCAAGACTTCCTTCCCTTTTTCCTTTTAGCTTAGCTCAGTGCTTCTCCAACTTGGGTGCACATTAGAATCCTTGGTAAAGCTGCATACGTGACGTCAGATGTACTGCACTTCAGGGGCGAGGGACGCACTATTCAAGGGAAACTGTGGCTCTCGAGGGCAGAGCTCGGACCCCACCTAACCCCCAGCGGGGTGTAACTCCACGATCACGCGTGGGAAGGAGCTGACAGGCCGCCCGGAACACCGCAGGAGCTCGTCAAAAGAACAGGACACTTGGGAGGGAGCAGGCCAACTTGCACGGGTCTTCGGGCGCTCAGGAGGGCCCCGCGGACAGGCCCCTTTCGGCCGGACCTCTCGCTCCCGCCCGAGACCCTCCTTGCCGGGGCCTCGCCCCTCGTTCCATTCCCCTCCGCCCAGTCAGGCGCCCCCCGACCAGGCCCGGGCTCGCCGCTTACACGTGTCCGCAGAGCACTCGCACCGGCTTCTCGTACACCTCTAGGCACACGGGACAGGTGAAGCGGCCCAGGGGGTCGGCCTCCGCCGCAGGCCCTGCCAGCTGCGCACCACCCTCACGGTCCGGCTGTTGCGTCGCCATCTTGCTGTCGCGGAGCGTAGCGTAACGGCGGCCGAGGAGGAGGAGCCCGACGGGGCGGGGCCGAGGAGGAGGAGCCCGACGGGGCGGGGCCGAGGCGGGCCAGCGCGGGGCCGGCACGAGGGCGGGGCTGGTGGGCGGGGAGGGACCCTGGGGGCGTGGATTGCGGGCAGTGCACCCGGCGGGGGGCGGGGCTCATGGGTGCGCCTCGCCCCTTGGCTGTGACCGGAGGGAGGGAGGAGGCCAAGAGAAATAATGGAAAATGTAGAAAACGGCTCTCGAGATTGGCAGAATTGGAACCGGTTTTGTGCTTTGGGCCTGTTTCTTACGTTTAAATCATTACTATTACTTAGTGTTTACTTATGCACTATTACTATTTCTCTTCCAACCGTGTTGATTTCTTTAAATTTAAGCAAACAAAAACAGAAAAAAATTTAGAAAAGAAGAAAGGAATGAATAAATAAATAAACTTAAGCAAACAAATTTTATTTTTTAAAATATGTTTTTATTGCTTTTTTTTTTTTTTTAATTAGAGAGCGAGGAAGGGAGAGAAAAATAGAAACATCAGTGTGAGGGAGAAACATCGGTCGCTGCCTCCTGCACACCCCCCACTGGGGATCAAGCCTGCAACCTGGGCGTGTGCCCTGACCAGGAATCAAACCGGCACCTCTCAGTCCATGGGATGAGCTCAATCCACTGAGCCACACCAGCCAGGCTAATCAAACACATTTTAAAAGAAACTGTGATATCACTCCTGAGCTACAAATAGAAAACCAGTATCACTTATTTTCTACAAGGGAACTGCAAAGATACAAGGGAAACAAAACAATATAATTTTTTCCAGGTGATTTTGAGAGTACATTTATTAAAGCTGGCGACCGTGAAACAAGGACGGGCTTAGGATAGAAGCAGCAACACGAGAGATCCTCAGAGGGGCTGCTTTGACTCTAGAATTGTTTTAGGAAAGAAATGAGCCTAGGCAGGGCTGCTGTTGGCTTACTGAAAAGTCAGAGAAAAGGGGGCCTTGCAGATAGGTTCAGGGGGTTAGCCTGGCTGAGCTGCCACTGCCCATTGCTCCCCTGGTTACAAGTCACCTGGGGACTCTTAGAAGTTAGGAGATGTACGCCTGAGAGGGAAGAAAGATGTTGGCGTGCTCCCATGAGGGAGAGCCCCCGAAAACAATATTATTAACTCATGCTGAATACTGTTGATGCTGAAAAGAGAGATTAGCCATTACTAGAGAGGTGTTGAAGATAGGCTATCACCACATTGAGACATACTAGTGAAAGCAGAAGTAATGGGAAGCATGTCTCCCTCTCTGAACCAACATTATTTAATATTGTGTTCACATGCCCCCTGGTGACAGGGTCCGGCTCCTGCTCTGTATAGATGGGGAAGCTGAAGCTCAAGCTTGAAGAGACAAAGTCTCAGCCTCACAAGAAAGGAGCCGGCCTACATCCCAGATGTTTTGAATCCCAACTTTCTCTACTTTCTACTGCACCCGATTGACTTTTGCATACACCCACTTAACAAAAGAGAAATCTTTTTTTTTTTTTAAAACACAGGCTGTACTAACAATTAAATTCTACCTAGTTTTCTTAACCTGGAAAGTTAATAATCAATTAAACTGCTATCTGAAACGGCACAAAGGCCTCATAGCAAGGAGTCTACATGAGATAAATAAATCATGTTTGTTAAAACCAGGTTAATTGAATGCAGATTTGTGTCTTCTCTTTGCCATTCCCAATACGTCAAGATTGCAGGTTGGATCCCTAGTCAGGGCACATAAAGAAGCAACCAATACTCAGACCGGTTGCTCAGCGGTTAGAGCATTGGCCCAGGGACCGGAGCGTCCCAGGTTCAATTCCGGCCAAGGGCACGTACCTCGGTTGTGGTTTGTCTCCAGCCCCGGTTGGGGCTGTACAGGTGGCATTCTATCTATGGGCCTCTCTCACATCACTGTTTCTCTCTCTCTTCCTCCCTCCCTCCCTCTCATTTTATCTGAAGATAAATGGAAAAATATCCTCGGGTGAGGATTAAAAAAAAATGCAACCAATGAATGCATAAAATGCATAAATAAATAGAACAGCAAATCTCTCTCTCTCTTTCTTCCCTTTCCCTCTCTCTAAAATCAATAAAACATTTAAAATTTTCAATTCTTCACCCTGGCAGGTTTGGCTTAGCAGTAAGAGTGACGGCCCGTGGACCAAAGAGTCTCGAGTTTAATTCCGGCCAAGGGTATATACCTTGGTTGCGGTTCGTCCCCAGCCCTGGGCCCTGGTCAGGGTCTTGCGGGGGGTGGCCAGTCAATGTGTGTCTCTCTCTCCCTCCCTTCCTCCCACTCTATCTGAAGATAAATGGAAGATATCCTCAGGTGAGGATTTTAAAAAATTTTCATTTCCTCTGTCTCACTAGCTACATTTCTAATGCTCAGTAGCTACTAGAAATGTAGCTAATAGCTATGTATCAGGACACAGCAGATATAGAACATTTCCATTGTCACAGAAGGTTCTGTGAACAGTGCTGCTATAGACCTACTCACACATGTGGGAAGGATACAGACACATAGATGTCAAGGACAGCATTGGTCACAGTAGCAAAGTGATAAAATAAATATGATATAATTACTGGTATGTCAGCTCCATGAGGACAGATTTTTTTTTTCATTCTGTTTACTGTATCTTTAGCTTTTATTTTATTTATTTTTTGTGGTACCTGCCCCTAGCTGGGGCCGAACCCGGACTCTCTGGTCCACAGGTCGACGCTCAACCGCTGAGCCAAACTTGCCAGGGCTGTATCTTTAGCTTTTAAAACAATGCCTAGTGCATGGTAGGTAACTCCATGTATATTTGTTAAGTGAACATACAGCTGATATGGAATGATCTTCAAAATATATACATTTTGTTTCCCTTTATTGATTTGAGAGAGAGAAAGGGAGAGGGGGAGAGAGATAGAAACATCAATGAGCAAGAACATCGACTGGCCACCTCCTGTATGCCCCCTACTGGGTATTGGGCCCACAACCTGGGCATGTGACCTGACCAGGAATTGAATTGGCCGGCAACCTCTTGGTGATGAGTGGACGCTCAACGACTGAGCCACATCGGCCGGGTTATGCATTACTTTTTAAGTAAAAATTAAAGAATATTGTATTAGGCCCTGTGGGAGAATAGGTGAAATGATTAGACATGATGCCAGCCCTCAAATCAAGCCCTATCTCTCAGATTCAGGTCACATGTAAAACATATTACTATACTTATCTAAAGCAGGCAGAATTTACAGCATTGTGTATTACCACATTTATTAATTTATAAGCAGATAATTTTATCTTGATTTCAAACTAGTATGAGATTCAAGATTGCCAAACTGGTAAGAGCCAAGAGGAATTTCCACCTACACCACTAGGGGGCAAACGAGTACCTCCTAGACTCACTGGCCCAGCTAGGTGAACACTGCCTCCTTATTCTCTCCAGTTCCTTAAGGATCTACTGTCCCTGACCATTATGCCTTACTGTACTTAGCCTGGAAGTAAAAATAAAAAGGGGACATAGTTTTGGATTGCAAGGAGTTTAACATGAGTAAAACTGATATGTAAATATTCATTCAACCAATAGCTTATTTGTGCCAGGCATCCTAATGGGTTTGGGGGATATGGCCATGAATGATTTGGACAAACAGGAAAGACACAGTGAATGATATCATAAAAATAGCAGTTTATCAGTTACCCCACCAGTTCATTGTTTTTACACAGCATTTGACAGTTTATATTATATCAAGAATCAGCCACATAATGAGGTAAAAATAATGATCTAGTAAGATCTTACAAGAACTAGAACTGAACAATAAATATTAGCAAGACTGATTGAAATAGGGATTTAGATCTACCACCACCTGCCTGGTCAGCGTGGCTCAGTGATTGAGCGTCAATCCATGCACTAAGGGATCACCAGTTCGGTTCCTGGTCAGTTCGGCACATGCCCAAGTTGTGGACCAGATCCCCAGTGGGGGGCATGCAGAGGGCAGCCAATTGATGTTTCCATCTCTCTCTCTCTAAAATCAATAAAGAAAAATAAATAAATAAATAAATCTACCACCACCAGCCACAAATATATTGACTTGAGACATTGGCTAACAATAGGAGGAAGTCATCACAATGAGCAAGACATTGAAAAATGAAGTATCCATATAGAAGTGGGATTTCTGGGTCACTTAAATTTATTAGAAACTGCCAAACCAAACCATTTTCCAAATATTTTCCACTGCCTCTAATGATGTACGAGTTGCTCCACATCCTCACCTACATTTGGTTGTCCGCCATTTTTATTTTAGCCATTCTAGCAGGTGTGTGGTGGGATCGCGTGGCTTTAATTTTCATAATGATGGAAGATGGTGAGCACCTTTCATTTGCTTATTGTCATTTGTATGTCTTCCTTTGGAAAAGTGTCTGCTCAAGTCTTTCGTTCACTTTTTTTATTAGGTTGTCTTTTTTATTCTTTAGTTGTAGGAGATAAAATATTATTTTGTATTTAGGTCATTCTTTGTATAAGTTTTTATTTTGAAATAATTTTAGACTTATAGAATAGTTACTAAGATATTTTATTTTTTTATCCTCACCCGAGGACATTTTTTCATTTTTTGTTCAGAGAGAGAGAGGGGAAGAGAGAGAGAAAGAAAAATCAACGTGAAAAGGACATAGCGAGTGGTTGCCACCCCCACGACCAACCAGGGCGGAGGACAAACTGCAACCGAGGTACGTGCCCTTAGCGGGAACCGAACCCGGGTCTCTCTGGGGCTGAGTCTAACCGCTGAGCCAAACCGGCCAGGGCATTGCTAAGATATCTTAAAGAACTCCCAGAGCCCTGGCCGGTTTGGCTCAGTGGTTAGATTGTGGCCTGCGGTCCAGAGAGACCGGGGTTCGGTTCCCGCTAAGAGCACGTACCTCGGTTGCAGTTTGTCCTCCGCCCTGGTTGGGCCGCATAGGTGGCAGCCACTCGATGTGTACCTTTCA